CACACTCTGAATACGAAGGAGACGTTACTTTTTGTTAATATAGGAATTTTCCCTATCGCTATGTTGGAAAATTCCTAATTGCTATGTTGGAATTTTCCAAGTATTCATCTTATTCTCGATATTGAATTTCTCCTTCTACTTCTTTATTTTCTAATTGTGTTTATACAATATGTTTATTATAAATAGATCGATATCATCATCTATATAGTCAGATCTATTTTTCGTCCTCTCTTATCGTTCTTTTCGTGCTCTTTGTTTGTTTCCAAGCGTTTTCTGATATACATCGTGTCAAGTGTGTACGGAATAAATCGAACTCACTTTAAGCACATAAAACAGAACTTACAGATTTACACTTTTATCGTTTATTTACATCAAATAAGAAATCATGAAAATAGAAATGAAAAAATGGTGATCAAAAGTATTGTTTTCTGGTGATCAAAAGTATCTAAGTTTTTTGGTGATCAAAAGTATCTTTTTTTGGTGATCAAAAGTATCTAAAGAGTTGTGGTGATCAAAAGTATCTTTTTTTGGTGATCAAAAGTACTTTTTCCCATAAATTAAAGTTACTATTAAAAGTTCATCTTCAATCAATAAAGATAAATAACGAATAAATTAAAAACAAACCCAGCTGGATTATTATGAAATTTACACAAAAAACAACTAATAAAAAACTTTTCTGTCAATAGTTCTTTATGTATGGATCAATTCTATGACTGAGGTAATGGTTGCTGATCAACATTAGTTGATTGTTGATTATTACTATCAGCCGTTTTGTGTTCTTCATGATGTTCTATTCGATAAATAAAAAATAAATAAAAATCAATATTGATCTTTTTCTTTCTTTTTACCTTCATCATAACCTCCTTCATCGTCTTCATCATATTCGCCTTCATCTGGATGGTTGTCATGATTCCAACCATCTTGACTTCCTTGATCACCTTGACTTCCTTGATCCCCTTGACTTCCTTGACTTCCTTGATCACCTTGACTTCCTTGACTTCCTTGATCACCTTGGTTTCCTTGACCGCCACCATGACCTCCTCGTCCACGACCTCGATCTTCAAATAGAAATTCATCACTTATAAGCAACACAACTTTAAATACTACCTCGACCGCGGCCACGACCACGTCCTCGACCACCTATTATACGAAATGAATATAAATTTAAAAAAAGAATGAAAGAAACCAACATACCTCTACGCGTGTTCGCACCCATACTGGCTTGTTGAGCACAAAGTATAGCCTCTTGATGCAATTGATTAGCAGCTTCTTGTGCTTCCAAAGCAGCTAAAAATAATAAAATTTAAAAAAAAAGGCCTATCATTTATTGAAAGAAACATACTAGCTTCCAGTTGATTAGCATATTGATATGCAGCTTGAGCTTTTTGATGTAGAGCTGCTGCTTCACGACTAGCTGCTGCAGCAGCAAGTCGTTCTTGATGACCAGCATATCTTGGGTTATTTGGATTTAATTGATTAGCATGATTATCTAAATCGGCCTTGGTATGTGGAACTAAATATAAAGTTAATGAGTATTACAATGTGATGATAAGGCAAAAGAAAAACAAAGTCAGGATGTGCGTACTATTGGTACAAGTCTGTCTGGGTGTAAAAATGGAACTGAAACAAAATGAAAGCTAAATTTCAAATCAAATCTGCTAGCGAAAAAACAACGACATTTTTGTTGAATTTGAAGAGATGTACATTATCTGCATGCACCTTCGTATCACAAAGTTTCCAAGAAAAAAAAACTTACCATTCGGATTGAGAGTAGATTGTGCACTGTTACCAACTACACCGGCTGGAATGACTTGGTTTGCATCACCCGATGGAATTGTAACAGTTTGATCATTATTTGTATTGTCACCAGCTGATGACATTGAATAGAAATATAGTAATCACTAAACGTACTGAAATAGAAATGACTCCTTTTATTTTACGTTTTTTTCTTTTATATCAGTAAGTACGCAAAAAAAAATAGAAAGATAATTTCGGTATTTCTTCTCTCAAATCTATCGTACAAATATAGAAACAGAAAGGAAAGAAAAAAGTCATTGCTTAACGATTTATTCTATCAGGGGTAATCGAGTAGACTGCAAAGCATCTAGATGCATCTATCATACAGAGATACACGTGACTTTAGATGTATGATTATTAGTCAGTTAAAATGAAGTTTTATTAAAATTTTGTTTTAAATATATGAGTAAAATATGAAGAATTATTCAAAAATTAGTATTTCGAATTGTCAATAAATCTAGATGGCAGTACAAGTTGTAAGGTTTCAATCGAAATATGTAATAGTATATGATAATCAAACATAATATTACTTTTCTAGTTAAATTTTTAATTATTCTTATAGATTATCAATAAAATATTTTATGTTGCTGGTTATTGAAATACTTAATCAGGTTTTAATCGATAATTTTTGTCTTTGATTTGACATTTATTCATTGATAAAATCTCAGAATCATAATGAAGACTATAGTTAGTTCTGCGATTGATATTTGCTGATATTATTTCTATATTTTTTCTGATTAAAAGAAAAACTCATAATAGATAGTATTGATAACTTGTTGAACCAATACGTCTTTATATAATTCTCTATCATATGTCTGATTTTTGATTCAGACGCTTTTAGAACAACATCTTTGAGATGTATATAAAAATATTATATGTGTAAAACTTAAAATCTTTTTTAGAATTATAATTTATTTTTATTGTTAGAATCTTTATTTTCTCCGAATCGATCTCGATTAAATGTTTTCTTTTTTATTTGGAACATAATTCCAAAATGAATCAAATACACGAAAAGAATCATTATTATTTTAGCAATTGATGAAAAAAAGAAATTATTATGAAATTGATTGTAGTATCAATGAAAGATTTATTTATTTTAAAATTAATTTGAACTGACATCATGATTACAGGAAAAACTCTTATTTCATTTCAAACTTCTATTATTTGAGTAATTAAAAAAAAATTCCATGATTAAATCAATTATGCAACCAAAAATGCAATAGAAAATTTATTATATTTAATGAGCATGTTAGCACCATAAATAATAACCTAAGATTACTAACTAGAAAATCATCAAGATTAATTAGAGAGTTACAATTTCAATGTCATATTCTTCATTAATATCACGCTCACAAATATAATAAAGCGCAGATATAAATCTTGAACAACCAAGTGTGCATCATCGTTTTAGTTTATTCGATTTATCAATATATAGCCATCGCTGCTGGTATAAATACGGAAAACTACAATATTAAGCGTATTAACAAAAATCAGTTTATTGAACAAAAATTGCTAGTGCAATATCTACGATATTAAAATATGAAACACAATATAGCTGCTGTTACTAATCACAGGGAAAAAATATTTTTCGGACACATTTTTTTACCCTCCTTCTATTTTATCTTTCAAATATGAAATAAGAAAGTACTTCATATATTAAAACAAGACGTGATTGATATACGATCTGTGTGAGAGGGAAGATCCAAATTTCTATTCCTATACTTCAACACACCTTTTCGAGCGTGTTTCACAAAATGAAAAATCGACTCGTCCTTTCGCTTATCCAAAGTAACAGGGATAAAAACACTTAAAACATGACTGATAATAGTAATTACCGTCTTTAAAAGCATGTGCAAGTGAAAGATAATCACTTAATGTTATATTTAGCAAATCTTTGCAGCATAATCACGCGTCATCTCGTGATCTAACGTTTGCAAAAATGAATTCATAGAAGATAAAATAGAACGAGGCGTGTGTTACACGTATGCATGAACGATGGTGTGTGACAGTTCCATGAAGTTCAGATGTTTAGTATATAATGAACCAAATTCATAGTAATATGTTCAAGAAAAATTTTTGAAGTAGAATTTTTCTAAACAAAGTTATGGGGCAATAGTAAGAACAGTTTTTCTGATTAATATATGTAAGATGAATCTTTGATATTCTTCTACTCATTGGCTATAAGCTTCCGTAAATAAATTGATCAAACAAATAATAATGATAAACATACATGAGTTTTTACTGAGTGTGTTCCATATAAATAGACATATGTCATTAATTATGGAGATGAATTAAAAATGACAGTACTCATTTCTTTGAATAACATACTTTACAAGTTGTTCAATAAATTAACGAAGCAAGTGACTGGTCGTGTTTGGACTCATTCATATTACATTCGACAGGCTATATTGAGACTGAGAAAAACGTCTAAAATAGTTCGGAACCATGACCTATTGGTAAATAGTTATGATCATTTTACTGAATTTTTCACCTATGGTTAGGAAATTTACAAAAATCGAATAAAAGAATTTCGACTTGAAATTCAATTTTTAAATAGATCTCTACCAGCCAATAAATTCTTTTCGAAAGCTCAACAAAGTCAAATGTTTCCTCATCGTTATATTGAATTTTCAAAAAAATATTCATTCCACAGAAAAAGATCACACAAATTGAATTTATATGATAATGCAATATCACGATAAAGAAACGTTTCTTTAAAAATTCTCGTGATATTATACATACGATGTTGCTAATATAAGTAACAATGTTTGTGTAACCATCACAAATAATGTGTCAAAAAAAAAGATTGGTTATTACACCAATGGATAAAAGCTTTTGCAAAAACCGTAATAACAAGCAGTCAATGAAATGATTGTTTTCATTGATAATTGAAAACCACAAAAGTCAGTTCACTTATTCGATATATAGAAACTGTTCGAAATCACGATATTAGGTACTTTTCAATATCGAATAAATAGTCTGTCTTTTGCGGCTTACAATTCTCGATGAAAACTGCAGTTATTCACGATTTTTACATCTCGATGAAAAAAATGGTTCTATCGTGTTCTGAACATAGATGCTCAGGATAATCAGAACAACTAGTTTCTCCTTAGACACTATTGGAGACCAAGCAATGATCATCATCGGATGTGAGTTTTTCTTCCGTCCACAAGGATCTTTATCTTCTAATTAGAACTTCATGAGTCATGGTTATTAAGTATAGTCTGCTCTATTACGATTACGAAAATTAATGAGTCTTATTAAATCTATATCAATATACATACAGATTGTCACTAATGAAACTCAAAACTAAAAGTTTTTTTGATTACACGAGATGATAGAGCAATTCTCTACAAAATTACACGTCTCCGAGCTTTCCGCAACATGTTTTTGACTGAATTACATAGGTTTTAAGAGAAGCTCAAAAATTTGCTTGCCCAGTTTTTTCCTGGACAATGGCGGAAAAGCAACTTTTGGGCATATCTTAATATTGATATTAATCGAAAGAAACGATCCTGGATTCTGAGTGCTGAAAAGCTAGGCTTAGGATTTTATAGAGACTCTGGACTTCGGAAATATTGTAAATATTTTATTTTACTACAACCTTTATTGGAAACAATTTCCTCTGTTCAAGATGCTATTCGGGTTTTTCATGCGAGTTATTATTATGGGAAAAATCAAAATTATATCAGTACGAACAAGTTTTGCAGCCACTGTGTACTTCTTTTTTGTACTACTTGTTAATGAAAATTTCTTTCGGAGTTATTTTTTCTTGAAACTTATAAATTTATAAAGTAGTGAATTTATATTCATTTCTTAACAACTGAAGCATAAACTTGTTGCTATGTAAGAAAAAAAATACTAGTCTGTTTTAATGATGCAACTTTGACATTGACTCCAAAAACAAAATTTCACGATCACTCCGACTCCGAATATTATGTTTTGCACGACTCCAATGAAACCGGAGTCTGATGTAGTGCTCTAATGATGATTCATTATTTGCATTATGAGTAGCTTCAAGTTTTTGACCAGCACCGGTAAAATTTAAACATGATACTTCAGGACAATCACGTCCATTGAAATAGCAACATTTATATCTTGATATAGATTCTGTGTTCGCCTAGACATTAAGTAAGTTATTTGAAAAAGAGATAAAAATATCGGTAAGCATGAGTATTTAGAGGTTTTTCTCGATCTCACTAAAATCGACTTATCGCTAAAAGATCAAGTCAAAAGTTATGAATCAGTTGGATTATTTTCTCACGAGAAAGAAACGAAGAAAAAAATACATGATTGATAAGTTGTTAATAAAACTTCATGACTAGATATGACTAGGCTTCAATCAAATTCACAACGACAACACAAGTTTATATTCAGAAAATCATTTCTCTAAAATCAAACGATCTAAGAAAAACGAAAAACAAAATATTCGAATAGTTTTCCAGCGAACACAAGTGTTACATATAAACTATATCGAACAGTGTACAATTTGATATTTAAAATTCCTTATATTTTTCATAGAATCGAATAACTCTTGACAATGCTAAAACAATGTCGGTAAAACTAACCTTATTTCTTTTACCGTTTTAACATCTTGTATGATCTATTTTTCAAAAAAGTTTATACAATTAAATTGAATAAAATTTTAACGAAATCACAAATGTCTTTTTACATTTCATTCAGAAAACTTATGCAGTGAAATATATTCGAATTCGATAAAAATCAATCTATTAGTGCAGAAAAAAATCTTATAACTAGATCACCAGATAAGAACATCTTTTAATTTTTCTATTATTTATTTCTATTATAAGCCATAAGTAGTATAAAGAAGATTTGAAAAATGTAATTTACAAATTTCAAACAACTAACGACAACTGTTGATTATTTTTCTCGGTGATGCATATATCCAATAAATATAATATGGATTAGCGGACTCTACATACACTCATGTTAACTTAGTCACATAGCAAATTATCATGTGATGCGAGTTTCAGTCGACACTGTCGAAGTATTTTTTTTTTTTTCATTCTGTCAACTAACGCTCACGTACTTCCACAAGACATCCAAGAAGTTTAGTTGGTAT